TTCTCTGTTTTCATGATTCTATGCAACATTGTCAGATTTCACACAGCAGTGTAAACCATCGTCAGTGTAAAGATACTGACTGCAGCAGTTCTGAACCTTCCCACTCTTGTTTGAATATCAGCTTCTAGTTTAGCAAGTTCTGTCTGGCCAAAGATTATAGTTAACTGTTAGAGACATTCAAAGTGTGTCACTTTGAGTTTCTCTGTTAAGGAGATGTGCTCGGTCAGTTGTGCAGAGCTGTAAGCAGGTCAGAGGTATGAACCTAGAAAGAAGGACAGCACAGGAGGGAATGAAACAGAAGAAAACACAACAGAGTTAAAGCAACAGATGTAGTTGTAGAGGAAGGTGTGTTTGTTTACATTTTCACATCGTATATTTGTGAAGAATCAGTAACTAAACAACATTTTATCTGGCAGGAAAAACAAGCTAAATGTCTTCTTTTTGATTCCTAACTATTCCTGTTTTTTTCATTTCTGTGTCTTAATATATTTTTGTATCTGAAGCAGATGACTTTGGTCTTTCCTGTCAGTCAAATCTGGTCATTTATCTCAGGAGTTTGATTTTTTTCTCTCCTATTTCTCCTCCTTGAACCGTCCCTCTGTGGTTATAAATAAAGCAGCCGAACATCCTCAAAATGAAGTCAGCCTTTTTTCTTGATTTGCTTTTCTGCCACTCAAAACAGAGAGAAAAATGCAGCGTGACTAAAATCCACTGATCTGCACTCAACCTTAGACTTCTCTATTCTCTCCCAGACAAGAAAAAGCCATTTGACGACACCACAACCGACCCCAGCTGAGATTGATCGATGACTGTCAGACATGATTGGGACTATTTTGCCCTCAAAACGATGCTGTACACCAAAACAGAACCCTACAATTGGCTCTAACAATGTGTTCTTTGCCTGCTTGGAAAGCCACAACACAGCATTGACCCTGGAGCAGTCAGGAATATTGACAAACTGGTAAAAAGGTTTTGTATGCAGCCTGTTCAGGGAGGTTGAGGGTGTTTTTCAACCATGAATAGTTAGGACCAAGGGGGGGAGTCGGTCCCAAAGCAGACTTAACACATTGTGTTTGCAGGATTTTGGACTGTTTGGCCAAGAGGGTGTATTTAAAAAAGTTCAATTCAGAGACTGGAGGTAAACTCAATGATGTCAGAGTCGATGCTTGAACTGTTCGGATGAAGAAAAGATAATTAGGGAGACAATCTTTAATTAGCCATTCCCTGGACAACACCTAGATGTAATCTATTATGATATGTCCATTTCTATCTGCATTGGCGGGCTCTGTCCTGGCTGAGCATGGGCTCCCAAAGAATAAGCGACAAATGAAAAAACACTTTCCCTGATCATCTAACACTGAGTGTTTCTTTACACATAAGCTTATCAACACTCTATACAGCTACACAGTTAACTGAAAACATCCCAGAGTCATCCTGTTTCCCTCCCAAGCACAAAAAATGATAATTATTGAGACGCAGAATGTTTTTCTGTTGTCACTTACTTTATACTTGATTTCAGGTCCATATCATCTTACAAAAAGCTTAAGAAGTATAAAAACAGGACATCAAAGAAAAGATAAAATCACTACAGTTCACAATTTTCAGTAATTAAAGGTATAATATGTAGAATTTATTACACCAAAATATCTGCACATCATCATTCAAGTCACATAGAATAGTTATTTCTAATGTTTCAACATCAACCTAAAGTTAAGAGCCTTTCATTTCTGCATGATTTCTGTTACGTTAACTGTAAGTTTTGAACATCTAATTCCATGTCATGCAAAATTCATCTTGAGATAAATAAATGAGTCATTACATTAATCTACTCATCAAAAAGGAATTAGTAGTTTAATCTTGATGAGCAGCTCTTACCGATGACTTTGGAGATCAGCTGATGTTTTCTCTTGCGTAACATCAACACTGATGTTCATGCTTTTGAAAACATTATCTGGTTATTCATGAGACGGAATGCACTCCCTGTCCCCAAACTGTATGTTATGCAATATCAGATGCATCTAAATCTTAAAATAGGAAACACTTTCTTTCTAATGTCCATGAAAAATGTGGACAGAGCTTTAAATTTAGCAACAGCAGTATTTTTAGTCAGATGAGGTGACAGACTGTAATTGTCATTTTAATGAGTGTTCAGCCTCTACACTACTTTTAATATGTGCAGCATGCCTGCAAAATGACATCATATTAAATTAACAATCTACATGCTACATTTCATGATGCTAACCTTGTCCCTGTGAGCTTCTCAGAATGCTAAAGTTAGCCTTTGGCTCACGGCTGAAGTGCGCCCTCACAGAGCTGCAGTGTTGTTGAATCTTATTTCCCTGTATTATCATGGCAGGTCTCCAACCTTCATATTACCTGCACAATGCTACACGACACTGCTGTCGGACTCAGGTCTATTCCTGCATCCTGTTGACCTCCAGTGGATACAAGTGTTTTTAAGTCTGCTGTGCCTGCATTGGGCTCCTGTGAGGAGTTTCCAGACGGTTTTGAAAGGAACTTTAATTAACACTGATGCCCCTTTACGGCAAACAAGACAGTTTCTGAAAAGGACCATTTCTATCTAGTTATTTTGTAATGCATGTAACCGCTGCCACCAGGTTGGTGTCAGAAGACGTGATTAACAGCAACATGCTGAAACAGCCTTTGGTGACATTACCCAGGGAGCAGATTCATAGGAGTGATAGGTTTGACTGTAAAAAGAAAGCAGGATGAGATCATTTTTTTTAAGGATATTTTTTGGGCCGTTTTTGCCTTTTTGGACAGGACAGGATTTGAACCTAGTACCGCTGCGAAGTGGACTATATCCTCTGCACATGGGGCATGTGACATAACAGCAAGGCTATTCTTCGCCCCAGCAGGATGAGATTTCTGTCAGAAAACACTCCTACATAAGATCAGGACTAAATCTGTTGTGGTATAAAAAATAACCTTGTGTCCACACCGACCGCCAGTTGCAACACAAAATGATAGCTCCTCACAGAGTGGTCATCACAGTGTGTTTTATAGGGTACATTTCACATTTCACATCCCTCATTGTCTCTTTGTGTTTTTCAAGTTACAGATTGACCACCGTTTTTTTTCCCTTCTTCTTCCAGCAGTAGCCTGCGACCTGACCTGGCTCCCAAATCAATACATGCCTGTGTCAGTTAGAGGATCTGTCTGTGCTGTGGACAGGCTGCTGTGCATGCTGCCTGTGTGTGTGTGTGTGTGTGTGTGTGTGTGTGGCTGGGTTTCTATTTTTCTTTTCTTATGTATGTGTGTGTGTGCACACTATAGAGAGAAAGAGACAGAGAGAGTGAGAGAGCCTGTGCAATTTAAAATTGAGTAAAACAATGCAGTGCCAAGGTTTCATTACCCTCCAGGCTTCTGTACCCACACAGTCGACAGCTTGTTCAGAGAATGGATTTTACAACAGCCCTAAAAGCAACACGGACGAGTGTTGGATTTTAACAGCAGTGCGCTGCCTGGTTGAGGCTCACTGATCTCACTCTGCTTATACATGAATTTTTTAGCATATCACATGAATCTTGACATTTAGGTGAAGCAAAATCCAATATTGCTTAAAAATGCAGAGCTGTTTGCATGGGAAATATTTTTTGTTTTCCACAAATTAACTTCAAAATGGCACTCTGCTCTCTAAACCTTGTGTCAGTAAAAGCAAATCTGTTCAAGTCAAAATGCACGGTGACATGTAACATGGCATCATTTACAGGTACTAACCCTCTCTCGCGTGATGCTTTTAAAAACCCTCTCACCTACAGCCTCAGCATTTCCCCAGACGCAGCCAAATGGTTTGTGCTTTTCTGAGGCCACAGGGCGATTTTTTTTTTCTTTTAAAAAGCTGAGGTGTCAAAACAGGTATGTCATGGTTGGATGCCCTTTTTAATCTGTCTCCCTCTGCCCAAGAGGCTTCTAGTCTGCTGACAGTCTTCCTCCTAGCTCTGGCTTCCCGCTCCTTTTTCATGCTCTTATAAAAAAAGGGTGCAGAACAGTTGGACCAAGCAGTCTTAAAAACCATCATTACATTTTATATATATATATCTTTTTACTGTCTCTATTTAACTACAAGAATGTTTTATAGCTCAGGATGTGTAAAAACATGTTTTCCATTCCAGTGTAGTTGTACTTATTCCCCTTTTAGAAAATGTTGTCATGATAACAGACAGCTGATATTGAGTAATGTCTGGTTTTTAATGATCAGAAACAGACAGTGTCAGCTCATCTGTCTGTTTGTAAGAGACATACAGGTACCTTTACTTAACAGAAAAAACATGTCGCTGTTTTCCATCCTGTGAATATGAATGGACCCCGCTGCTCACTCTCTCTGTCACTCGGCTGCAGCTAAGACATATAACTGAAGATCTGTTGTTTTTGTAAAGCTTGTGTACTTTTAAAGACTGTTGATCTTTAAAAAACGAGATTGTGTTGAATAGGAAACATGTCGTATCAAAAAAAAGGCTCAAAGTAGAGGACATTTTCGACAAACAATCTGAGTATAAAGATTCTCACTTTAAGCTTATTGGGAGCTTAAAGTAAGAGAGATATTTAAATTTATGACACTATGATACGCAGTGTGTCCACACCATACACTTACCTGTCACTCTGTGGATGATGAATGCAGCTGCAGCTAGTCATGTGGGACATGTATGTGCATGTTTTCTATTGATCAAGTAAAAAGGGACATCAATGGATGCATGTTCCAAATTTTAATCAGGTTCACCTTTCTTCCCCGAGCATATTTTCTCGTGTATTTGCTTCCGCAGCACACTCTCTCATTCATCTTACCGAGGCATCTGTATCATAAACAAAGCTGTCAGGAGGAGATGAAGCATATGGAATATATTTGTCCTGTTACATTATGATGGGTTTTTTCCCCCCTTGACACAAATGGAGACAGCCCTCCCTCACCACATTCATATTCAACATCGCTGTATATTAAATAGTACATTTTTGTCTTTTTTTTCCTTCCCCCCTCACAGAATCATCCATCCTGTCATACGACGGAAGCATGTACATGAAAGTGGTGATTCCAAACGTCATGCACACAGAGGCCGAGGACGTCTCCCTCCGCTTCATGTCCCAGCGGGCGTACGGCCTGCTCATGGCCGCAACGTCCCGAGAGTCGGCGGATACGCTGAGGCTGGAGCTGGACAGCGGGAAGGTCAAACTGACGGTCAACCTAGGTATCGTATAAACCGCCAACACCGGGGCCAACTCGCCTCGAGCTCAAGAGGAGGCCTTCCTGTTTCTGTGTTTTTTTTTCTTTACTCCATGTTCTGAAGGTCCAGACGTCTGCTCAGACCTGATTTATATACTAAAGCAGTTTTTTTGTAGTTTGTCTTTGGAGTTGCATGTTTTGTCTCTGACTTGCCTGATTTGTTATTTTTCTGCCTTGATGCTTACATGTCTTTGTAGATTTTTAATATCCATCAATCTAACACTGAACAGAGTTTTTGATGCTCTGCAGCACATCTTTGGAACAGATCATTTAGGTCATATTCATTATTGTGTACAAATAGATATTTCCAAAGCATAGCATTTAGATTTTTAAATAAATAGATGGCTCTACATCAATTCACATAGCAGCATTTCAATTATATTACGCCATCTATTCAGAGCAACAGGTAAGCGTACATGTTAGTGCTGCACTGATAGTCTGCATTCTTATCGTGTGGGTCTGTCTCTGTGGTCTTTTTTCATTTATTTTTTACCTCATGATATCAGGTCCATGTTTCTCTCTGTCCATTAGTAACCCTTGGTCTAGCTGGCATCTCCTATGCCTTGTTCAAAGATGGCACTCACCCCTTCAAAGGCCCCGAGCCTGCGGCCCGTCTGGCAAACAGCCCGATGCCACAGCACCCGGCGCGCCTGCAGATGGTGGCACGAGTGCTACTTTTCTTTTAAGTCGAGCGCAGGCTTTTATACCAGTGAGCCTAGAATAGATAAATTATCACTTAAAACACATTTTTAATACTAAATACGTTAATGGAACTCACTTTTGATGCAATGCGATGTACCTGGTTACCACAGCTGCTAAAAACATGGAACATCTGTAGTCCTTATTTCATGTTTTTAATGAGCAATGTGGTCTTTTTCCCAAATATTCAAAAGGGAAGTTTACTTTTAATATCAACATAAATTCTCACATCATCAGTTTGATGCACAGAAATATTTGCAGTCCCTTACATAGGACTGTAGTCTTCTGTATGGTGCTGGTGCTGCGTGGCTCGAGGCTGTTTGTTCCCACTTTTCTGTTGCGGTTGACGGCACATGACCGGCCTGGTCACATGGATTTCTGCACCTGCCAAACTCAGCTTCAAAACTCTCCCTTACCTGGAGATTTGAGCCTCAGTTTTATTTTATTTTTTTAAATTACACAATATTGATGCGTCTTACATTGTGTGTAGTGGGTAAGCAGTAAGAATCTTTCGGCTCTAGCTGCCAGGTTGCAAAATCGATGTGGCCATGGAATCTCATGCGACCATTTTGAAATTGAACAATAACAATAAGGCCAAAGTTCATAAATGATGAGGAAAAAATATACTAGCATAAAGCTTTGAGCACTTTTGATATCAGATGAGAACAAAGAAATGCACAGAGTTTAACCAGTACAGTAATACTGGAAAGAATTGGCGTAGTGTTATTGGCTACAAGATTAAAGTAATTAAAGACATAGATATGGATGAAATTGGATTTCCTGACAATCAGTAGCCAGCCAGGCTAAAATGGCCGCAGGGGTCATGTGTCCGTCCCCGGAAGGTGGCTTTTCTTGCTCTTGGATGTCTGCAGCTGTAACCTTGAAGGATGCGATTTCATCTGTCACTTATTCTCCCCTCCCCATCTAGACTGTGTCAGGATAAACTGTAACACCAGTAAGTCAACACTCTTCTTCTGCAGCTCTTTCTTCAGTCAATGTTTGATTATAGCCTGTGTGCTAGATGTTAGGGCAGGAATGTGTGAATGCTGGCGACTGATAAGAGGATTTCCAAGATAAGAAGGGAACAAGTAATAGCCAGAGATCAAAGTTATGCAAATCTGACTTCACGTACTCTATATATTTTAAATGGCCCATTTTTTTAAATGAAGTCAGGCAACTAGTCCTTTATTGTTCCCTGAATGCTTGTATCTACTCGCTGAACATTACATTTCTTACTATGGGCTGTTTCCACAAGTACACAGTTAGATATGACTCTGTGTCTCACTTGCTTTCTTTACTTACTTTTCTTCTTATAACACACACTGCAGTATATAGTTTGTACTAGCCAACATGCTCTTACTCATGAAATCGACTCTTATTTTAAATTATTTTTTAAAAGCTTGTACAGAGAAACAGATACAGTAGATGAATGGAGAGGAACAGAAACTAATACACACACAAATCAAATTCGCTTCATAAACTAGACGATTGAAAGTGATCTTAAAACATTGAGAATATACTCAAACACCACACTCTAGAATATATATAAGGGCAACTCACTAAGGTTTTCTTTTCTCCAAAGGATGGGGGGTCAATAGAGGACACCAACATTTAAGTCATCCAATTAAAAAAACCCAGTCTGTACTTCAAATCAATTTCACTGACCAAAGAGTGCTGCTTCTTTTGATTTTAAAATCCATGTTCTATATCAGTCAGCAGGTTCAGGGTGAGCAGCTCGAGCCCATGGAGGAATTCAGTGGTGCTGTAGTGCCCTCTAGTGGTTGAACGTAACAATATCTCACACAATCTTTGCAGCCCTTAGGAATAAAACCGACCTTCTTCAGTCAACTGAATCCTTTTGAAGCAGGGTATTTGAGTCGCAGTATAAAAATGACAAAGAAACAAAATCAAAGGGAAAAAACAAGAGAGGAAGAGAAAGATTATTTTAAATCAAACCGCTCTTGAGTTGTGAGTGTCAGCATTCGAGTCCTTTTCTGAGTAACAGCAAATAATTCTATTTAGCTGTCAGTTGTAAAGTTTTTACTTTCTGTTAAATCAAACTACTTCTCCTTCTTGAAAATGATGATATAATGGTCATACTCTCTTAAACAACACATATATCTTAAAAACTATCTCTTTATGCATTCCACATTGGGAAGCCTTTTCCTGCTTTACATTGCCAGTATTTAACATCAGTTTGAAAAAAGAAAGAAGTGTTTTGTGCTTATGCTTCCCCCTTTCCTTCACTAACTAACCCTCCTCTTCAGGCAAAGGCCCTGAGGTTCTTTATGCCGGACAAAAGCTCAACGACAATGAGTGGCACTCGGTGCGAGTGCTCCGCCGCGGTAAAAACTTCAAACTAACAGTGGATGAAGACATGGCTGAAGGTATTACTCTTGTGAACTTATAATTTTTTTCTCTTTTTAGGTGGGTTGGTTGTAAACTGCTTCAATCTGTGTCCCGCTAACAAAATCTAAACCATTCAAGGTTCTAGTGAAGATAAAAACAATACATTAAACATTTATGACACACACTATCTTGTGTCTCATCATAAAAAATACACTTTGCCATTTGTTTGAAGATTAGTTAAAGGTCACATATTATGCAAAATGCACGTCACCATGCTTCTCTAACACTAATATGTGTCCTTAGTCTGTCTACAAACCCCCTTATTATTAGAAAAGTCCATCCTCTCTTACTTTTGCCTGCTCCACTTTTCAGAAAATGAGCTCAAACGGGGCGTTTGGAGATTCTCCCTTCATGACATCACAAAGGGCAGTAACCCCTCCCCCAAGTGGAGTGCTAGGTGTTTGTTTTGTCCTCTGAGTCTGCCTTTTTACTGTAAACAAAAGGACATTGAGCGAGAAAGCCTGAGCCACCCAAACCCTTTCAGAGAGGGGCGTGGTCAGATGCAGCTCATTTGCATTTAAAGCTACAGACACATAAACAGCCTGTTCTGAGCAGGGCTGATATAGAGGGGTTTATAGTCATGATAAAATACAGGACCAGAGTGGATTTAGAACAAAACTACACTAACATGTTCTGGGGACCTCTGATACTTATTTCAACTGGTTGCAAAGGAGAATAATATGTGACCTTTAAAGCTTCATGCTATGTCAGTTGTGATTTGCTATCAGCAAAAGTTTGGTGGTTACACCGGCATGACACAGAGTGAAACTGGGCTGTTGCTGGGTTAAGGTGCGCTTGCAGTATCCTTCCTCCTCCTCCACCCCTTCATCCCTCGCCTTCTTCTCCTTTCTCTCCCCCCCCTCCGCCTCAGGTCAGATGGCGGGCGACCACACCCGTCTGGAGTTCAACAACGTGGAGACGGGAATCTTGACCGAGCGACGTTTTGTCTCGTCTGCTCCTTCGTCCTTTATCGGACATCTTCAGGTATAAAGTACAACGAATGTCAACTGACTGATAAACTTATTTTGTCAAGAGCAGAATATTTAGAAAGAGACGTTCTGAGACCAGACTTTCCTTCAAAGCGATTCCAACACCTAGAATGACTATTGGCTGATAAACAGCACCCTCTGATTCCTCCCGTGCAAACAGAAAATCATTCATATTATTGGTGTACAAACACTGATTGCTTCTTTTTATTCCTACATTCAAATATACATAAAATTGTTGATATTTTCAACTCATTGACGATCGTATCGGATCGATACACTGCCATACTTGCCACTACCTGATATCCACATTTTGGCGGGTAACACGATGATATCAATGCATGTATTGTATCAGAACAACTCGGGGTCATCAAATTTAATCACAGGTGTCTTTGAGAAGGTAATCTTAAATTATATATTTTTTTACAATCCTTTCCTTTGATTTGCTTCCTCAAGCACAATGATGAAGGTTTGTCATTTGGAACCGTCAAGTGCAATGGACAACCCCCTCTTCACAATGTATTCACACCACCACCGTCTCTCAACAACTCTTCCCTCACAGAGCCTTAAGTTCAACGGCATGCAGTACATCGACATGTGCAAGAACGGGGACATCGACTTCTGCGAGCTGAACGCCCGCTTCGGCATGCGCTTCATCATCGCCGACCCCGTCACCTTCAAGACCAAAGGCAGCTACCTGGGCTTAGCCACTCTGCAGGCGTATACCACAATGCACCTCTTCTTCCAGTTCAAAACCACCTCGCCTGATGGTTTCATCATCTTCAACAGTGGAGACGGAAACGACTTTATTGCAGTGGAGCTGGTGAAAGGGTGAGTGGGATGAAGTCCAGAAACGAGGAATGTATTTGAAATGCTAATGTAGGATGTGGGTTTGTTTCTCAAGGTGTTAAAAGTGCAAGCCAAACTCTTGATAAAGAGTCCCTGTTCCAACTTTTGCAAGCTTAATAATTATTCTCTTGCTGCAAAGATATATAATTAGTGATTCCTCTGTTCCAGGTTTGTCCACTATGTGTTTGACCTGGGGAATGGGCCGAGTCTGCTGAAGGGCAACAGTGACAACCCCCTTAATGATAACCAGTGGCACAACGTGGTCATCACGCGAGACTCCTCCAACACACACACGCTCAAGGTGGACTCCAAGTCGGTCACGCAGAATGTCAATGGAGCCAAAAACCTCGACCTCAAAGGTAACAAATCCTCGCTTTGGAAGAAATGCAGATTATTATCTTCTCGGTGAAAGCCACAGAATGTAGTTTAATCCCAACATCACATTCAAATCCCCCGCAGTGTACCCACATATGACCTTGGCATCTGAAACCATTAAATGACAAAATTTAAGAAAGGCTCAACTTGGACTGAGATCTAAAGGATTTGACTCAACATTCTGCCAAAAGCCCAAAGATAGAAAAATAATGTAGCAATACATTTTACAGCCAATCAGCTCATTATTTTGCTGAGAGGCTATGCTATCAATCTGAGGTACATTTTAAAAATGTCAACGTTTTTATTACCAGGCATTAAGTTGTCTTGCTTTTAATCAACCTGACAGCAGCCAATCATGTGCAGGCATGACAGCAGGTAATAAGTCAGACTATCACATTGAGATATAAAGACTCTGCTGTGATACATGAAAACATTCTGAAACTTTGAGCTCAGAGCACTGGAATTTCATTAGCCTTGTTTTACAAGTGGGTGACATGGCAGACTATAACTTTTTAAAATGTGACATTTAAACCCCCATAAAACCTTGTTTTGAGATTTTTACACATCATTTCTAGTATTAGCTTTTTATCTCTTTGCAGATTTTGATCTACATGTTTGTGTATGTAGTGTCTTTTTAACAAGGAAGAAAAAAAATCTCAGCCTACATAATTCAGTTTATCACTTTGTCTGACACCTACCCCCAGCAGTCGTTTCAGACAATAAAAACAACATCTTAGAATCAATGATGGTCACTTTTGCTTGTGTAGGAGAAAAATGCATCCTTTTGTTTTCGCTCTTTCATAACCACCTGAAAACTCCTCACAGGAGCTCTAAGTTAGTTAAGTTTCCTCTACAGGTACAGTGTCTAACCTGAGGAACAAATACAATCTATTGTAGTTATTAGCAACATTACAGAAAAAGGTTCCAAACATCACTACTTAATGCACAGACAATCTAACTTGTCTTTACCCCTCTCTGTCTCTCTCCCCTCAGGTGACCTGTTCATCGGAGGCCTTGGACCCAACATGTACCAGAACCTTCCTAAGCTGGTGGTTTCTCGGGAAGGTTTCCAGGGCTGCTTGGCCTCAGTTGATCTCAACGGCCGCTTGCCAGACCTCATCAACGACGCCCTTTTCCGTAGCGGGCAGATTGAGCGTGGCTGTGAAGGTACAGATGGCCTGTAGCGCTTAAGAATCATGACCTGCTGTGTGAGATTTATTAGTCTAATTACAAAGCTCTTTAGTAGCCCTTAAAGCCACTCGCTGGCATTGTTAATCCCACTTATTTTCTTCTTCTCTGCCAGGCATTTGTCACAGCTTAGAAGAATGCTTTAATTTTGTCTTTTAGGTTCTCTAATAAAAGCCTGTTAACTTTTTATGTTGCTTCATTATATCTTAAAGAGACTAGAAGTGCATAGTCTTGAATACAAAAGTATACTGTTAAACTGGATGAAAGAAGAAAAGGATATTAAAACAAGTCCAAACATTGAGTCATTATTTTAAATTGTTTTACAAGGTAAGATGCTTGCAGGTTTTGCCAACTTCCTGTTGAACTCAAACACTCACTGCCTGCGTCTTATTACCTTCTCAGAAAGTCCGTCTTCAGGCAGAGTAGTACAAACTATTTCAGAATACAAATAAGCTACTGATAATGTGGTTTTAGAATAACAATCTCCTCACTATTGCAATTTCAATAAGGGTCAGATTTGACATGGAGCAGTATCCATCCGTAGTAAAAAGATGCATGCTGTCATACTTAATCTATTTTGTCCTATGTAATGCTTAAAGCCTCGCTATTACTTTTTTCCAAATTAAGATTTTGTGATGTTCCTTTATGCAGGCTTTTCTTCTTCTGACCTCTAGAGGGCGGCAGAATCCTAACATAAGGTCTAAACACTGCACAATAGCCTTCATATGCAGAACATTACGCCATGAGTAACAGAAGACAAATACAGTTTGAAACTAATTTTGCAAACAGAAAAAAACAACAACTTTATTCAGCCCCTCAACAACCTTCCATACTGTTGCACTCTGCCAAGTGAGAAACTTTTAACGAACACTAACAATGCTGCTCCCTCACTAACCTCTACTCTTGTTTTCCGCTCTGCTCTGTTCTGTTTGTTTTATTTTTTTCTTTCTGCTCTAACAAAGTTGGTTTCACCAAAGCCGACCTGCAAGGTAGAGGGTTAAATTCAGCCTCCCGGAGGCCTGCTCGCCTGAAAGCCTGCTGTGTGCAATGCATCGCGGGTGTCACCATGGCAATGATGTCCCCTTGGTGCCGCAGAGGTGACCCGCTCTCTGAAAGGAAAAGTTAATAGGTAGAGGGAAAACAGAGAGAGAGAGAGAGAGAGAGAGAGAGAGAGAGAGAGAGACTCAGGCAGACGGAACAACACATCAAGACACAAGGAAAAACTAAATAACCAAAAAATGCTCACACTTTTTTATAAAGCACTGCTGCAGTAGATACTCATATGTTGTATTCTTGCACATGTAGCTTTATATAACAGTTAAATTAAATGTTTAATAGCATGTTTCTTTCAAGCCAACCACGGTTCAGGTGTAGGGCAATATCTGAGTTTCATATAATTCAAGGACACCGTTTAATAAAACTCCGGTCAGAGAAGTCATCTCCTCACAGTGCAGTTCTATAGCTGTGGTTTTAGACAGTCTAGGCAGAGGCAGACACTTTGTGGGAGTTCTGTGCTCTTGTATGAAAATGCCAGTAGTGACACATTACAGGGGGGCGTAGACAGACAGAAAGAGGCTGTCACTGCACATCTGAACACTGCCTGTGTGCTGCTGATGTATCAGGCCTCTCTCTCTCTCCCTCTCCTTTTTTTTCCTCCAAAAGCTATCATGCTACCCAGATAAGAGTGTTTTTTTTTTTCAGAGAGCGAGCGACCTCCTGCCGACACACTCAAACACGGCACAATCCTCTGTTGCTCCCACTGACATATGAGCGCCGCTGTGTGAATACAAACATGAAACCCACTCTCATGCAATGTGGAGAGACATGTGTGCCTGGCTGACTACCGTTACCGTACATTGCACAGTAAATGCACTTTCAGCTAGCAAACTTAATCTGTCTTCACTTCACTTTGTCTTGCACTAGACACCTGCTCTTCAACACTTGCATTTGTCTGCCTTTTTTCTGTTGATTTCATTTACTTTTGGTTGTTTCTGATGTGGTTGTAAGAAAGATTTTTGTAAAGGTCCCCCCCCCCACGTCTCTGTCTAGACTCCGACAGGGAATTGTTTATCTCGTTATCTATGCTGTGCGCTCGTCCTTATCTGCATTCCCTCTCCGTATACGTATTCAAAGGTAGGAGCCATGTGTGGTGTAGAGGAATAGCAAACACACATCCCGTTTGACTTTGAATACCCTCCTCAACTTCCGTCTGACTAAAGTGCATACACAAGGACATGCACTACAGTACATGTTTTTAAGCTCTCTTTATGTTTTTTTTTTACTCCTCTTCTCCATGGATACTGTCTGTTTAGTGTGTTTAGTGTTCGCCGCAGTGAAAGAAATGTTTGAAAAGCAAATCGACAGGAGCACTTTTAAGCATTTTTTTTTTTTGTTGGGATGTGTTTTATTATTGCTGTTTTTTTTGTCCATGAGTCATCTGTTAAAAGGTTATTTTATTTAACGTCTCGTCGTGCTTGTTCACAGAGGGAATGCAGCGTTTGAAGTTTTACTCTGATAAAACTTTTTTCAATTACTTGTTGGAATGATAATAGATTGCATGCCTGTCCGATTGCACACACTCTCAAAAAAAAAAAAAAGAAGGAAAAACGAAGGGGGATGTTGACAGTGTCACCACATCAGCTCAGCTGGAGTCCAATTCATCTGCTGTTACAGATGTCTTAAATGCAGATTAGAAGTGCACTTGCACCCTTTTCAACAGTAATTAACGTAAGAAATGCCGACACTTCCGCTGCTTGAGAAGTGTACTGTTGATCCTCTGGAAACCTGGCGCTTCTGCTCTTGGCTTTCCGCTGCGGTTTGCTGCTTCACCAGCATGAAACAGGATTCCCTCGACTGTTTTTAAGCGTGTTGTACTCCAGGTCAGGCTTCCTGTGGTGGCACTGTTTACTCCCTCGTCTGCTGTATATCTAGCTCTCTCTAGAGTGCATTTCTTCTGCATGGTTCCTGCATTGTTAAGCCTCAGATGTAGCTCTGTATTGCTTCTTGACTGCTTTCCTTTGGCATTTCTTTCTTTGTTTTCCCCCTCTCCTTCTTCTTCTCCCCCTTCCCAGGCCCAAGCACAACCTGCCAGGAGGACTCATGTGCCAACATGGGGGTGTGCATCCAGCAGTGGGAGAACTTCACTTGTGACTGCTCCATGACGTCCTACACGGGGACTCACTGCAACGACCGTGAGTACTAAAATAAAATTGCCTTTACTCGTGTATCTTGCACGTGCATTAACGGAGCACCCTGCAATTTGTACATGTCCACGTTGATGTACGAGTTATGGGGCTTATCAAGCGCCATCTGACAAAGTTGTGAAATATGTCTTGTGGCTCTGAAGGGAGCTTTATCAGGTCTGAGAAAATGACTCGAGTGACATCCCTTGAGTAATTTCAGCTGCAACTTTGCGACAGAAGTTGCATTATGGGAAATATTGGACCAAGGGCTGTGCCTGACTCAGAATTTTGTCAGTCACATCGGATTCTGCTTTTCAATAAAAGCCTTCAAGGAGTGAGAATTACCCGAGATGCATCTTTATCATACTTCTCCAGACCCTCCCTCAAAAACAATATATCCAGCTGACTACTTCCCTGCTGATTTTAGCTCACGTCATAGTCATTTTTAGCTACATTCTTAGAGATTTTAGTACCTTTTAATCCTAAATTATTGACAGCCCAGTAGACTCACCACAATGTTTTTGAAAAACACTAATCTTTAACACAAAACTGACATATTTAGTGTCTTTACTACTTTTAATAGCCTTGCCTGTTAGATTTCAAACCAGCAGAAACTTGTAGATAATTCAGCTCCCTATGAAAAAGCTCTTGAAGAAAATGTCAATCTAGGTGACAGTAACTGAGCACTGACAAGATAGCAGCAGCTTGCTTGCATCCCTAACACACGGTGCATGCTAAAAAACGCTGTCATTTGTTTCCTGTTATTATCTCAGGTACCATACATTCTGTTAAGGAGACCTCTGCAGATAATTCTACTCCTGGCAAAATAACTATCTTGGGTCATTTATCTCCGAAGAGCAAATGAAGCTTCGATTTGACTGACAAAATTGAAGTCAGCCCATGGTCCTCTCAACTGATGATTCAAGTCTTCAACTTTAAGGGAACAGCCCTGATATGATCCAAAAATGGTTTTAAAAACAGATAAGAGGAGGTGATGGTCAGGTCATCTCAGCCGCTGCTGCACACGTGTGATTCTTTACTTCCTTAAAGACACTTGCATTACATCACCATACCCTGATTACTTATGTCATAATGTGTAATAAATTTCACACTCTGAACTCCAAACACACACCTACATAAGCGTATATTGGATTCACCTCTGGAGCCTTGCCATCCTCTCTACAACAGTGAGTATCATCTCCTTCACTCAAGGACTCCCAGAGCTCTTCCACTCGTGTGTTTATTAAGCTTTTGTCAGATTTGCTGCTTGAGAGGGGAGCTGAAAGCCTCATGTGATCTTTGAATGAAGCACTTAAGATACAGTATGTCAGGTATTGTCTTCTTCTTTTTTGCTGCATTGCAGGCAATTTGTTGGTCCAGGTTTTGTTTGATGTCCTGAGTGTTCACGTGCCGGGCTTCAGAGCAAACGGCTGTGACTGATGATGTGTAAAATCTCCACTTCTGCCTCAATCGCCTTTTCATAAATGCCCTTCAAAGCGCTATCATAGAACTGGAAGTGTGAGTTTGTGCGTGTGTGTGGGATCTCTTATCCCCATGACGACAGGGGACTTCCCCTCAGTAATCACGGTTGGCGGTCTTTCATTTAGCGGTTAATAGAGGGGGCATACTGCTGCTGGGCCAGACTAATGAGGTGGTGGAGGCTGTTAGAGGAGCTGCTCTCTGTGAGCGCTGGCGTCCCCTAATCAGCCAGACCTTTCAGATGTTAGACCGAGCCGCTGTCTATGACTTTATATCTCTCACACCCATCCTTTCCTCTCTTTGTTTCCTCGCTTTTTCCCTTCTCACTTTCCTCTTTTTCTCCCTTTGCAAAAGATCATCTGATGCAATCATTTTCACACCGGGCGAGTAATCGACTCCAGTTCTCACCCGGTGATGGGAGCTCTGTTTTTATGTGTTAATTAGTGATGAGGAGCCCTCATTAATTCACCTCTCGGTGCAGCATGAGCAACTTACAGGGAGGAGTCATCGATTTTCTATCGACTCTGAAATATTTCTTCTTGAAACACGAGAACTTGCACAGTAACTTATTTTACATCTCATGACATTGCAGGGTGAAGTCCTGGATTGCCTCTTGCTGGGTTTGTAGATTAATGTTCACTAATATTGACTGGATTCTCCGAGCGTATAATGGCTTCCTTAACTGAGCGTCATGGACCTAAATTGGAATTTTGCGGTGGATTTTCTTTTCCTTTGGGTGCTCTTTCAAGCAGTTTCTCTTTCATTTCCTTTGCTAGAAGTCAGAAAATAAACAATAAAAAGGGAGAAAAACTGGAGGAAAAGGCAAAGTCAAGCAAACAGGAGGTTTGGTTTGGGAACTTTTCACTCAAGCTGACACTCTAGGAAGTGCTCACACAAGTCGGCATGACACAGTCTGCCCAAGATAAAGGGTCTGGTTTGCTCTTCCAAGCATGACCCAATCTTCTGATGTTGACTCTGATGCCAGCAGCCTGCATCCCTGTGAGCTTTCATGAGCTCAGCAGTGCTGTCACACACCACCAGGTGGCAGTAAATCCATAAGCAGGACCGCATCGTGTCTCTCCTTGCTTGGAGAAAATGAGATGCAATCCCCCGAGCATGAAATCAGCTTTCCTGTTTTTTTTCCTCCGCTGCTTTGCCTCTTGTACTTCTCTATAGTTATGGATCATAGAGAGAAAATTGTGCAAAATCAAATGTACTACGTACAATCATATTGCCAACAGTTTTATAGCTTGATTGGAGTGGCTTGATAAAAATACAGAAAACAGTGAATGCAGCCTTTGCCCTGTGCTCGCGTGTGTGTTCTGTGCGGCTGCCTTTTATTCAGTGAGCACAGCGCTGAGAGAGAGTTTTTAATTAACAATGTGGGAGTGGAGCTTCTCCCTCTGCTTCTCTCGCTCTCTCCCTCTCTGATAGCTGCCAGCAAATATCAGTAATTGTCTGCCTCCCTGACTCGGTCTCTACCCATTGTCCAAATGAAGAAACTTGAACAAAGTAAAGTGAACATTTCTGCCAGTTAAGCCTCTCGCAGTTTCATCGGTGCCGATTGTTAGCGTCGAGCCTGCGTGCCCTCTCTGCGCTTCTCTTTTGTAGCACACTGAGATCTAGGTGGCAAAGAAAAAGAGAGAGGGGGGAAAAAAAAACCTCAGGAGGCAAGAACTATCTCCGCTCCTTCCATTTATTCTCGTGTACCCCGTTTGCGGGGCTCTTTGCAGTATGCAAGCCATTTTCAGAGCCACTTGGACAATCTGGAGGTGCATGTCGTGCCCAGTGCTGCTTGAAAAAAAAAAAACGAGGGAGTGGAGGGGTGGACTCTTTTTATAGCATTTTCATCCTGCTTGGTTCTGGCTCACTGCTTTTGTCATGCTCATCTCCATCTCCCTGTCGTCTCATATCCATCCTTCTCCCCCCCACCACCCCCTTCTTCTCTTCTCGTCTTTTCTCACTCCTCCTCTCTTCCTCTTTCCTCTCCTCCCCTCTCTGCTTTCGGGACGGAACACTCCCTGTCAGCTTCTATGAATACCGCAGAGTTTCATGTTTAAAAATCCAAGGACATGGGAGCTGTGGGCCAAGCAAGCAAGCAAGCAGCGGACACTCCTCTTCCACATCCAGAGCAATTACTCAACTTACGTAATAGAATTATCTCGGCAAAGGTCGCTGCATTGTTCCACAGTCAGGAACATGGTAAACAAACAAAAAGGAAGAGTGGAGAAATGAGAGGGAGGCTGACGACAGGCAGCAGAAAACGGTTTGTCAGATTGACGCCTGCGTCGATGATTGTTGAGATAGATTAAGTGATGAATTTCTCTCTGTCTGTGCATTGATCCCAACCAACCCTCTGCTCAACCCTAATGTCCTAAATGTACTTTTCAAGGCGTGCTCAGAGGGCTGTAACCATATCTGGCTAACTGCTTACATAAAAGACAAACACAGCAGCGGCATTGCTTCCTTCACTGTTTAAAAGAAAGTAATCATGGCATTCGCCTCGTAGTCATTTCTCTCCCACTCGTTGGGGGAGAGGAGCGAGGAGAGAGAAAAGAAATGGACAAAAGAGGCGGGGGATGAGGAACAAGCTGTGTTTCCTCTGGTCCACAATGTTCCACTGAGTAGAAAACCCACAATAATAACAGCATTTCCCCTCTATTGACTGATGTGTCTGCTCTACAGTATTAATCTGGCAGGGGGAAGAAAAAAGGCAGGAACACAATGGGGCTATTCACTTTGACATGACGTCAATGATGAGTGAAGGTTTTAGGAAGAAACAAGCAAATGAGAAAAGAAATACACACAGCATAATGCATGCAGGCACTGCTGGTATCTATAGACTTCCTCATGAATACTGAAGGATGTTTTCATGGGAGCTGAATAAATTAACCTGCTGTCCGTTTCAATGGGATTAAGTAGCTGTAGCTTGCTGGGACTGGCTACCAGATGTTGTGCAGGGGTCAGCTGGCTAGAAAGCACAGCACGGTAACCATTTGCATTATAAGAGCTGGGCACAAATGTAAGGGAAGGTAACTCAATGACCGCATAAATGGACAACTTTATATCAGGAACAGGGAGGGAGTGATGTGAAAATGTCTTCCTTCCTTTTTTCTTTTCCCTTATAAAGCTTATAGAAAGTTTCCAGTCAATGAAAAGTACCTTATGGCTAAAGTGGGCTTATAAGTGGAGCATAGAAATATGAGAACATTTGCCTATAAATACCACAGGTAGTTCAGAAATGGGCCAAAAGAGATCCATGGAGAGTGATTTGCGCTCCAGGCACTACCTATCCCAAAAGCACACTTGAAAATGCTCTCTTTCTCTTTTGTTGTAGTAGCAAAGGCGATTACGTTAGCGTCAAAGATTCATATGGCTGAGGCGTCGCATGATAAGGAAGCCTAAAGATTTGACAGCTCTTGCAGTATCATCAGAAAGAAACACGTTTTGGATGATGGAGCATTGCTGCTTGGAGGAATCTTGTCCTGTTGTTGTGAGTCTGAGGCTTGAAGAAAACTTTGACTGCCTAA